ATACATGAGCAATCAATAAATCCAAAAGACTATTCTCAAAATAAATCATCTAAATTATAAAATAATTAAATATAAGAAATTGGCTTGATTTGCTAAAATCACGGAATTGACCCTGGGACAGACGTCCATATGGGAAAGGCCTTTAATTTCTTTTGCATTTCAAACAGTATGAATATTACTGGTATAGAAAATATTATATCAAATTAGTTTGATCTAGCTCTGACAGATGGCTTATGCACTTTTATTTTGTAGGAAGCAATGTAATGAAAACAAACCAAACAACACAGTGCAGGATGAGAGAAGTGTGGCAGAAGTTAGCAGACAGAGAGCAACGGACTTATTTTTTATGAAAAGCTGTTTTGATTCTTTTTATCGGTAATAAAAGAAGGGACACATTCGGACTTAATGAGCGCTTCAAAGGTAATGGGAGTCTGCATTGTTTTCTCTTGTACCATGCTGGCTACACGGGTAAGAGTGGTTTTAAACATCCAAAGAACCAGAACTGTAAAAACCAAATCAGGGGTCTAGTGGAGACCTGCGTTTATTTATCAAAATGTTTATCCACATGAGGCCAGTAAACGGGACAGACGGCTATTTGGGACTCGGCTGTTAATTGAAGTTTTACGGTAAATGTGAAGCCGCAAATGTTGTGATCAGACTGCAGCATCTTACAGGAAGTTCAGACAGTAACTATTGTTGTTCATCTTTTCAACAGCTCTGCAGGATGGAAACACTGGTCTCACCAATGACCAGATCACATCTGTCCATACAGGAACTGAAGGAGGACATATCAGAGTTACATGCCCCTTTTCTTCATATGGAAGCTCGATGTTCTTCTGCAAAGAACGTAAACCAGAGGACATCCTCACTGAAACAACTCGTGTCAGAGATCAGAGGAGGCAGATACTTCATCAGATATGAAAGAGCAGGAAATGTTTCTGTGAGCATCACACAGCTGACCAGGTCTTTGTCATCAGCCCTCGAGAGCATCAAAATCGTTGTTGTGGATGGTGTTTCTTCAGACAAGAAATATTTTAAAGTAAGCTGCTGGCACATTTTGTTCTTTAATTTTTTGTCACTGCGAACTCAGATAAATACTCATTAAAGAGTCAAAAGTACTAATAAACTGTGACACACACACAGTTGACACACACAGTATGGTTTCTTGCTGTTTATGATGAATTAAATGGCTTACACAGTGCCAAAGTTGTAATGTTCATAATGTAATTGAATTATTTACCATGTCATGTCAAATTATCATATGTTCTAATAATGCAATATACAAAGTAGGTACACGGATGCTGGGCAGCTAGCTTATCTTGAGTAAGTCATTGTGTTAAATCTTATATTATTAGTACACTGATGTGGATTCTAAACAAAATAAAGAATGAAAAATGTAAAAAGCTGTTTTTGTCGTCCTGCCATGAATCATGCTGTCTGCAGATAACTGAAAAACACAGACATCACCAAAACAACACTGATGGCCTAGGCTATAAGAAGATCCTGAAACTGAGCTGCTGCACGGTGGCGGTTCTACAGGACAGGTTCCACTCAGAACAGGCCTCGCCATGGTCGACCAAAGAAGTTGAGTGCACGTGCTCAGCATCTCTTACGTAATCTTAAATGTATGTACAAATGAAAATACGTTTTAAATGCATCACTCCAAATGCAGAATACATTAAATCAAGTCATTTAAACACTCATCCTGCTCTCATTTCTTTCTGACGTTAAAAAGGAGAGAAAAGGCCTTCCTCCTGCTCCTTTAACCACAGATAAGGCTGCTTGTCTCTTCACAACTGTCACATTAGCAAATATTGCCTTCTTTGCAGTTCAAAACAATAATTTTGACATCATCAGGGGATACGTATAGAGAATGTTATCTCAAAATACAAGTTTTAAAAATTATTACAGAATATTATAAACTCAGAATAATATAAATTTAAAGCTGAAAACTCCTCTTATCTTCACACCTCTTTTCACGCTTCCCTTCGTGTGAGCTACACGCACGCGTCCTCAGACGCCTTTTTTATTTATCTTAAGGGTTGAGTTGCCAGCAAGAGCGAACTTTCGCTTCCTCTTTACTGGGAATCAACATATATAATCTGAAATATGATCATGTACAACAGTAGGTCTCTGGAGGTTGAGCAAATGTCAGGGCAGAAGAGACTGCAGAGACACACTAAAACATAAAACTGTATTTAAAAAAAAAACGTCTTCCTCACTTCATCTCTGTACTCTTGCAATCCGAGCTAAGCAGTCAACAATTAATTAGTAAAGTTGAATTTAACATATTTGTCCAACAAAATATACTTGTGATTAAGATAATATTTATTAGTAGTTCTCACGATATTATATATAATGTACCACAATACAATTTATAAGTATTAGTAGGTTTAAATGCATATGTATCTATATGCTTGACTGTCCTTGATTGTGTATTTTCATATACATGTTACAGGTTATTTGCTGATTACTTGACTCTCTTTAATGCTGCAATATTTCAGTTATCTTTATTGTGAACTAGATGTACTTTAACTTCCTTATCATTAAGTTAAACCTAAAGAGTTGAAATAAATAAATAAAAATGTAGGTGCTACATCAATGTCTTTATTAATCTATAATGAATAAATAAAGCTGCAACCAAAGCTTATTTCCATTTTAAATTAAACTGTTCATCTGACTAATAGATCATTGTTTTGTTATTAAACGTCAGGACAAAGTAAATATTAGGTAGGACGTAAATAAAGTCACTGAGAGGTGGAGGTTTCAGTTGTTTTAAAGCATAAATTTTACGTATATAATTAGTCTTGACTGCAACTTTTCCTGTCATGTGTTTCTTCATTTACATATAACCCTGTTATTCTAAAATAAAGAGTTTTTATTTAATTTTGTTTTGTTATTTAAAGTAAATAAGATACCTTTATTCAGTTAATGGAAAAAGTACAAAAACATTTTTGTGTGGGACAGAAAGCCTACATTCGATGCTGCTGGAGGATATTTTGGTTTTGAGGTTTGAAAAAATAGAGAAGTTTGGGTATTGAGTGTGTGTTAACCAACACTTGAGATAAAAGCTAGGACAAGTAAGTCTCTTACTTACAGAAGCCCTAAGCGGCCATAGATTCAAATCTTTTTTTTTTTTTTACTCCGTTTTCCCGTGATAACGGGATAATTTTCTCATGATCTCGTGTTCAGTGAGACTGATTAGCTTAGTCAGCAGAGTATAAGATTCTTGGTCTTGACATTGTGCGTTCAATTCTCATAGAAGGCAAACTTTTTCATAATCCTCTTCAACAAAGTTCTTATGAAGATAAGTGATTCACATGCTCACAATTAATCACGTGCTGGATCGTGCGCATCCTGGCTATCCACATTCATCAACATATGGACATGGATCATTCCCAGGCAGAGGCAATTCATCTGCTTCTCATTCATGGGGATCCATTTAACTACACATTTCCTGGCAGCTATTTCAGAAACTTTGAAATACCCATCTGAAAATGTGTGATTGGATTCCCCTGAATCTCTTCATAACAACTTTGTTGAAGAGAATGTTAAAAAAAACACACACACAAAAAAAGAATAAGAGAAAATGCAAAGAGCTGGAGTCAAACCTGCAATCCAGCTCACTTCCAACTGAGCTAACCAGTGACTGCCAAGGACCATGAAATTATCGTAAAGAAATGCACCTGCTGTGTTCAGTTATGGTTCATTATCTTGAGATCATGAGAAAACAACAGTCGTTATCTCGAGGTCATGAGATAATTATCTTGTTATCACGGGAAAACGGAGTAAGAAAAAGATTTGAATCGATGGCCACTTAGGGCTTACGTACTTACTGATCCGACCATTTGTATTTAAATTTGAACAGGACATGGGTTAACATTTATTGAGCTGACGCTTTTATCCAAAGAGACTTACAACTGCTATACTGAGGGACACCTTGGTGGATATATTAAAGAGGGAAATTGAACCCGGGTCTCTCACACCAAAGGTATGTGTATTATACCCTGCGCTATCACTACCCCCACTTGCTTAGTTTTTTAAGTGTATGATTTAATAATATATTCAGTCAGCATATTGTGGATGAAACTAAAGATAGCAAACCAACAGATACAGAAAGAGAGATAGAGGAAGGAAATGTTAAGTTAAACCACATTCATCTTCCTGACTGATCAGACAGAGTGGGAAGGAGTGAAGTGATAGAGGCAGTTCTCCTGCAGTTGAATGATTTGTCTCCATCAGTATCTAATTCAGAATGAATATCCACTGTGTTCTGTTCTTCTGCTTCTTCTCAGGTGAGGACTGATTACCTGACTGTCTCTTTAAAGCTGCAGCACACACTGCTGGACATTTGTCCAAATGTTGGATGATAAATGTTTTTCAGTTGCTGTGTTCTTATTCAGATGTCCTGTTGTTCTCTGATGTTTTCTGTTACTAGTTTCTGCTGCAGCATTTCCACAATCTGATCCAGTCCACTGCAATGAAATGTAAAAAAGTTAATATTCATCATCCGTTATTAATTGCTGCTCATTTATCTAGTTCAGGTTAGAAAGTAGGTGAATTTGAAAACGGCTAAAAGTGCACCAAACAGCAACCACCATAACAACTGCTGTAGAGTCAGTTCATCTCATCTCATTCACCTCTTCTGCTCATTTGATCTCTCTGTATTGTTCCTTGGACCTTCTGTCACCTCTTACACCACCCTCATTAACCTGCAGTCTGTTTTACAGTCAGTGTACAACACAGGAAGTACTGACCATCAGGGTTCTCTGTTCACCTTTCCAACAGCACTGTGTGGTGGAAACACTGGGCTCGTCAGCGCAAAACTCGACATTTATGCAGGAGCTGAGGGAGGAACTGGTGCAATTAGTTGCTACTTCACTCTCTCTGGAAGCAGGAAGTTCTTCTGTAAGAACGAATGTAAAGCAGAAGATATTCTGGTTAAAACAGATGATGTCAGAGCTCAGAGTGGCAGATACAGCATTGAATACAGAACGGATCTTCTGGAAGAGGAATTGTGTCTGTGACCATCACAAATCTGACCAAGTCTGACTCAGGACGGTACAGGTGTGGTCTGGGCGGGCTTCGGTTCCAGAATCATTCAGGGACTTTGAGGTCAGCGTTTCAGATGGTGAGTTTAAATAGTTGCTCCAATCACGGATGAGTGAGAACTTGGATGTTGAACTTGTAGCTTTCAGAAAAACTAAACAGAGACTCCGCTATGAGAAATTTGGAATGAAAGCTAGTGAAATAGAAGGGATGTGTATGTATGTATGCATTTTATAAACAGACTGTGGGTATAATGTAAACATGTTCTCCCTTAGAAGAATGTACAATAATTGGAGTGTGTTAACACACTGAAACTTCGGCCATTTACCACAAAAGCTGTGTTCAAATGGTCATTTATTTCTTAAAGAGGCTAAATACTACCGTTATCTAACTTGAGCCAACTAAAGCACAAAATCCCAATATACTTCACGTGCTTTGCAGTAACGTTAGTTGTCTGTTTTGTCAGTTCCAAAACAAAGCGGATGTCTCTCCGTGATTCAAGCCTTTCTGATGTTGACAATGTTTTCCCCCGACCTCGATCTGCTTACTACTTTTATATGTTTTTATCCTCATGTGGAGTTTGTGTTGAAGGCTGTGGGTTATGTTGTCTCACACAGCCCGCCAGGAAATCAGGACGGCTGAGTCAGTGGTATATTCTTTTTAGTCTCTTCTTATAACATACTCTCACAGGAGAGCTTTCCCTGATTTTATTTATCTTTCTACTAACCGTTTTTTGATTAAGTCTTTCCTTCTTTTAATCATATCTTGCTATCTGTTTATATGTGTTTATTGTCTTTGCACTTGTGAAGCACTTTGAAACATGGTTTTGAAAAGTGCTCTATAAATAAAGATTATCATTATTATATTATTACTTGTTTTTTATGCAACTACATGAGTTTATTAAAGCGCATGTATATATTAATGCAAGATATAGCTCAAAATAAACAAAAATGACGGGCCAGCTTCATCCAGATTAGAACAAATCGTGAGCCCTGTTTTTCCTCTCAATGCTCAAGATGCCATAACTGGTTGGACTTTGTCTGTCTAGTGGTTACAATATGACAGACAGGGTTGAACAAATGGCTATAACAAAATAATTTAATTTAAAAGACCTGTCCTCAGATGAAAGCATTGTTCTCAGCTGAAGAATGATTCACACACGGTTCAGTCAGTGTTGTCCGGACTTTGAATGTGGTGTCCAATTTTATGATTTTCCTGGACACCTGCCAGAAAGAAAAAAAAGCTGAAAATCAAATGCTTAATAGTTTTTTTGATATTTGTTGATTTTGTGTACCTTGATTAAGTGCAATGAGCTCCGACAGACTATTTCCACTTCATTGATGGACCCTGTGGGTGAAGTCTGGTGAACTACCCAATGAGAAAGAACGCATGTGTTCCAGAAAATTCTTCTCTTCAAGGAATTAACTTTTCTTCAACAAGATGTTCTTCTACAGAACTTAAATATGTAAATGCATGTGTATTTATATAAACTATAGTCTTTTGTTTTTAGATTTAGCATATTTTCTTTAAAATAGGACAGTTATTCAGGTGTTACTATTAGTTTGACAGCACTGCGTGAACAGGGCCTCAGGTCCCACATGTTAAATCATCATTTATTAATCAGGAAACAAACTTTTTCTTCTCTTCAACCTCCACCACAGATTGGACCTCCACCATCGCTGTGCTGATGTATGTTGTCTCTATTCCTGTCATGATTGTCAGCGTCCCAGGGCTGACACTGATGATAATCTTTATTCAGAAATACATCAAACCTAAAGGTGAGGCAACAGGAAACTCTTACACAGCAACGACAACAAGTGAAACTTCCCATTTCTCATCAAAAATGACATTTCAGTCAGGACACTCATGTCAAGACTTGCAACAACACATACTGTAGTTTGGCTGGCTCTGGGGCAGTGATGGGGCAGTGGATAACACATGCTTTTGGTGTGAGAGACCTGGATTTAAATCCACTATAACACACCAATGTGTCCCTGAGAAAGACACTTAACCCCACTTAACACTTAGCTCCTGAGGTGTGCGACCTCTGACATATATAGCGATTGTAAGTTGCTTTGGATAAAAGCGTCATCTAAATGAGTAAATGTAATTCACTGGAACAAATCTGAGCAACAGGCTGTCCCTGAGCTCACACACCCACAAAATGTAATGAACGCGAAAGACACGTTAAAGAAACAAAGAAATTCAACTAAATGCTAATACATGAGGAATGTGCACAATAAGATTAGTTTTTTTTGGGTTGTTTCACCATTTATAATAGAGAAAAATACTTTTGTCTGTTTCACAGGTTTGCAGACCAGAGGAAATTCAGATGGCACAAACATGGAGGTGACTTTCTTTAACTCTTTGATTACTCTCTCTGTTGGATAAGATGTACCAGTGCAGGAGACAGTAGTTAATTCTCAGGATTGGAATCAGGAGAAATTTTAATAGATAGTATCGGCTTAAATAACACCGATCACATGCTGATCCTTTCTTTACTGAACTCTGCTGTGTTTACTCACCTTGTTGTGTTGCAGCGCAGCTCTCCTTCACGCCTACAGTGCAGCCTTTCACTGCACGTAGGTGTAAAAATTAGAGTGTTCATATAAACATCTTTGGGCACACAGTGAGTGAGTCTTGAGTTCTGACATCAAGGTTGGAAAAATACTCAGATTCACTCTGACCCTAACAACCTCCCTCGTGCACAAACTGGTTGTTATGGTTTTCCTGCCTCCTGCTCTCACGTGTCCAAGAGGGTCCAACTGCAGACCTCCACTGTCAGGCCGGTCAGGACAGGAAATACACGCAAAAATTACAAAATAAAAGTTTTGCGATTTGACGGGAAACACATTCAAAAATTATAAAGTTTAATCACGTAGACATAGGGAGAGGTATTTTGTCGTTGATTTATATTTAATTCAACATCGTAAAGAGAAACCAGCAGGCGAATTCCTTAAATATTGCATATTGATTTGAGCCTATTCTGTCTACTTAGCATGACTGCATATCGCTTCAATCATTCAACTAGTAACAGTATCTTTTTTACAGGCACTACTTACTTATTCTGTTAAAATAGGACATTAACTCCGTCCATACAGCTAGCCTCATCCATTCACAGAAAAACATATTGGTTTTGAGTAAGTGTATAGCCTCTCTTCCAGTCTTGTTAAAAAAACACACACACACTTACGATTCATAATTTCCCTTTGAAGAGTAATATATTACTGCTATC